CTGATCAGGAACCCAAGGCATGCCTTGGGAGTCAGTTCTGGTCGAATAGTTCACACCAAGAACGAGTCAGTTATGTGATGAGACATCGAATATTCAAAATTTTTCTATTCTATTTCTTTTTTATAGATGAACGAATGTTGTCGTACTTGAAAATAGGTTTACTGTCTCTGTTTTATGATCGTCCTTTTTGCACTCCGAAATTCAATTTTTGTTATTCGAAATTTGAGGTGAGCGTTCTCACTGTATTCCATGTTGAGCATTGTGTTTGGTGAAGTTACGCTGATCAGGAACCCAAGGCATGCCTTGGGAGTCAGTCCTGGTTGAATAGCCGCATTGAACCGCTTTTGGTGTGCACACTGATCAGGAACCCAAGGCATGCCTTGGGAGTCAGTTCTGGTCGAATAGTTCACACCAAGAACGAGTCAGTTATGTGAAGAGACATCGAATATTCAAAAATTTTCTATTCTATTTCTTTTTTATAGATGAACGAATGTTGTCGTACTTGAAAATAGGTTTACTGTTTCTGTTTTATGATCGTCTTTTTTGCACTCCGAGATTCGATTTTTGTTATTCGAAATTTGAGGTGAGCGTTCTCACTGTATTCCATGTTGAGCATTATGTTTGGTGAAGTTACGCTGATCAGGAACCCAAGGCATGCCTTGGGAGTCAGTCCTGGTTGAATAGCCGCATTGAACCGCTTTTGGTGTGCACACTGATCAGGAACCCAAGGCATGCCTTGGGAGTCAGTTCTGGTCGAATAGTTCACACCAAGAACGAGTCAGTTATGTGATGAGACATCGAATATTCAAAATTTTTCTATTCTATTTCTTTTTTATAGATGAACGAATGTTGTCGTACTTGAAAATAGGTTTACTGTCTCTGTTTTATGATCGTCCTTTTTGCACTCCGAAATTCAATTTTTGTTATTCGAAATTTGAGGTGAACATTCTCACTGTATTCCATGTTGAGCATTATGTTTGGTGAAGTTACGCTGATCAGGAACCCAAGGCATGCCTTGGGAGTCAGTCCTGGTTGAATAGCCGCTTTTGGTGTGCACACTGATCAGGAACCCAAGGCATGCCTTGGGAGTCAGTCCTGGTTGATGTGCACGCCAAAAACGAGTCAGTTATGTGATGATACATAAAATTTTCTACTCTATTTCTCTTATAGACGAACGAATGTTGTCGTACTTGAGGATAGATTTATTAACTCTGTTTTATGATTGTACTTATTGCACTCCGAGAGATTCAATTTTTGTTATTCGAAACTTGAGGAGGTGAGCATTCTCACTGCATTCCATGTTGAGTATTATGTTTGGTGAAGTTACGCTAATAGGAACCCAATGCATGCCTTCTGGTTGAATAGCCACATTGAAACGCTCTTGGTGTGCACACCAAGAACGAGTCAGTTACGTGATGAGACATCAAATGTTCAAAATTTTTCTATTATATTTTTTTTATAGATGAACTACTTGACTAAAAATATCATTATTCATATGAAAATTTATAAAAGACTGTTTCATAAACATGAAAAGATCAATTATCCTGACGGTAGTAGCCTGAAAATGTTAGGATCTATAGAAGTTTAAGTTTATTTTTCTATTCTTAAATGGCAGTCAACTAGCATGTCACAATTGCATACTTAAATACTTATTCTTGTGTTTCAGAAGATCCTTATTTATACAAAGTTTGAGTTATAATCAACAATTTAAGTTAAAAATAATCTTGAGCTGTAAGATTTACCCACTGTAAAATATTGTAAATATTTTGAATTGAATTTAAAACTTAATAAATCTTGTATAATCTTTCTTTTTTACAGTTACATTCTTTATAGTTATAATTAGAGCTTACTAATTTACTATTCGAATAATATTCGAATAATTTAGATTAACAAATGTTTATTCGAATATTCGCCGAATGACTAATACTATTCGAATAAATATAATTATTCGAATAAATATATTTATTCGAATAAGTATACATTATCCGGCAATTTATGATCATAATTGGTAGGGGGTCACTCAAGAATAAAGATAATTATATCGAATACATGGAAAAAAATAAAAAGAAATTTTTAATGATTATATGAGTTTGCCGGATAATGTTAATTAGAAGTTGCGGCATCTACGGATATAGTACGTAGGAGTTGTAAAATTAAATGTAATAACAGCGTCTAAGATTAGTATGCAGAAGAAGCAGAGCATTCATTAAAAAAATTTTCGTTTAGTAATATATGCGCATTTGTGTATATAGATTAATTATAGAGATCATAATTTCAATATTGGGATTTAAAGACCCTCACAAAAACTAAACCTCTTAGCTTAGCAGCCGTTCCGACCAGCTTGACCTGACAAAAATTGACTAATCCTGGGATAGGGTGGATGCGTGGGTCAATATTACCAGAACAAAAGTCGGATTCACAAAAAAAAGTTTTAATCAACTATATAATATACTATGAAACAACTACCTTATAAATTACCGCATACGTTGTAATATAATGATAAATACTCATACAGAATTACTAATTACCCATACTTTCGTTAAGTTGATTAATCAAACATGTGACCGTAGCTGGGCCTATTACATATTCGATTAGATAGTAGCAACACACGTAGACCCTAACAACTCCTACAGGGAGATCTCCAAAATTCCGGGTCGGACGCTTCGGAACTCTTGCCGGAAGGGTCGGAGTTGATCAATTTTGCCCCAAGATCACTAAGAATTTTAGTAATGAAACAATAGTCGTTCATTAAGTGAAAAGTGCCCAGCTGATAATTTTACTATAGCCTATAGCTTTTACTAACCCTAACTTAGCCCTAACCCCAACTCTAACCATGATGCATTCCGGCCATTCCAACCTGGAAATCTGGGAATCCCCTGTAGAAAATGACCAAAATTTATTACATTACATCTACAGGTAATCTATCACAAACATTGAACCTATTAAATATACTTTAAATTAAATATACTTTAAATTATTATTAAAATAATTTATAATAAAAACCTGAATAACTATGTAATTATTATAAATTAATTTAACAATTATTTTAAACTAACACATTCAACTCTCTTCATCGATCACCAAAACCAAATTTGGAGCTAAAGAATGTCCAAGACTTGACGTCAATTTTATTAAGACAACAATAGAACTTGTATTAAGCAAAAGAATAGAACATAAGAAAAGAATTTTAGTTTCTTAGAACAAGTTTGCTCACTGTGTTTTTTAAAAGTGCACTACCAAGAAAATTATACACTTCAACAAAAATTTTAAAATTTTTTAGAAATTTTGGGGATTTGCTACTAACCCTGTACTGCAAATCACATTTGAACAAAACAAACAGACATGTTCACTTTAGGTGAACAAACAAACAAACCAGGATCAGTAGACAAACAACCAACAAAACAAACAACTACGTGTATCTACAAACAACAAACAGTATGCGTAAAATGCCGAAACTTATTATTTATAAAAATTTTTTCAATAAGACAGAAACTAAAAGGGCAGCAATGCAAGAAGAGCAAAAGGAATTTATATTCGAACAAGATAGAAAAGTTGCAAAATATCTGGGCACTAGCGAAATTTATCTTATCACAATCATACACAACGTCTTACAACACTTTGACTATACTCAACACAAGCTAACAAGAGAACAAACTCTAGAGAAGAAGAAAATCTCCTGTTAGAATACACAAGCAACAATATAATGCAAATAGATAACACAAATAGTATTCACTTCCAGGAAAGCAATATGAAGATAAAAATCAAACTTTCTCTCATAGAAGATATAATTGCACACCCAACTAAACCCTCCAAAGCAACCAGCATCGACACAGAACACAAGAAAAAAGATACATCATTGCCTAATAGAAGTGAAGCCAAAATGAAATTGCTCCCTATAGAAACTACTTTGACTTTACTATTTATTGAAACTGAAAACTCAATGTGCAATATAGAAATAGAATTTCAAGACAACTCTCGAAAGAGAACTCTTAAAGATTAAGAAGAGTTGGTATATAACTCCAAAGACTATCCAGAAATTACCAAAGATGTATTATTAGAAAAAGAGTGTAGAATACTAGATTACGGACTCAAAGAACTCATTAAAGAAGATCTACAAGCAGACATAAAATCCTTAAAGCAAACTAGATACAAGAAAACCAAACAATATGAAGATATCTACAATTCATCTTGGGCCCCAAAAAATAAAATTACACACCAAGAAGTTTATTCTTTATCTACTTTTCTCTTTACGATTTGAAATTTACCAAAAAATATGAATGCATACTGAATCAAGTCATACTTGAACATATATGGTACAGCAATGGTCATCGCATAGCAACAAAATTTTAGAACAAAGGCAGCATTCATCAAGATCCTACCAAACTCAGAACAAAGAGAAAAATCTTTAAAAGAAAGCTGGTCAATACATCTAGAATTTGGCAAAATATACAGAACTACTCTGAGCAAGTTTGACATTGCTGAACTAAAATCAAAAGGCCAGTATAAAAACGTTATCGCAAACATACCAACAACAGTATATAATAGCCTTCTCTTATGGCAACTTAAAAAGTATAAGGTCCAAGCAGTACATATTCTTTATAATCGAAATGGAAATCAAAGGAAAAGGGCTCTTGTTTATTTCAAATCAGAAGAGGATTTCCTTCTAGCCCAAGGCTGCAATATATATTATTTCAATACCAAACTCAAGTAGCATCTAAACTCAGAAAACACAAACCAAAAAGATTCCTCCGACAGTATGTTTCACTATAAGAAAGAAGTTAGAAACCAAAATAGAGGGAAAAAGACAAGAATTGAAACAGAAAGGCCAAAAGAAAGAAAAATGGCTAAGCATACTCTTACTAAGCAGTTAAACAGGGCCAGTGACTTCAATTCTATTAACACCGACAACCAGGAAGATAATAGAGTCAACAACTTCTGCAGATCTCGGGACATTAACAGAAAACCTCTTAGAAATCTAGAAAACAAGTTTGCTACTAGTTCAAATAAATTAGAAATAAACAGGAAAAGAGGAAATCAAGAAGCACAAGAAAATAGAACACCTTATGACAAAAATCTTAAAAAAAAAGGCTAGATCATATAGTGTAGACGACAAAAAACCAGAAAGCAACTTGATAGTCAACTATGAAACACAAAATAGTATATTGGAGCAAATCTTAAACAGATTACAAAGAGTAGAAAAAAAACAGGGGGCCTCAGCCCCAAACTTCTCCTAAGGGCACCCCAGTTGAATTAACGAAAACAGACAAGCAAAATAGCTTGTCAGGGCAAACTTTACTTAAAATAACTTATAATGCCCTAGAATCAGAGTTAGAATTAGTACCAGATAATATAGACCAAAAAAACAAAATAGAGGAAAGTTTCGAGCAAGTAAAAATAGGTTTTCACAATATAAACGGCATAAAAGGCAATAAGACAAAATTGCAAGAACTTATAGACTTTGGAATAGAAAAAAATATAGATATTATAGAAATAACAGAAACGAACACAAATGCAAGAAAAGCAGCTTTCTGGACAAAAGATAATATAAAAAAAAGAAAAGGCTCAGGAGTAGGATTACTAGTAAGGTAGGAATGGCAAACTCACCTCACTAAAGTAATAGTAAAGGACTCTTATGCTCTAAAAGCAGTCTTTAGATTCAAAAGAACAATACTAGTAATATGGGTAGTATACTTTCCTCCAAACAACAAATATATACAAAGAAAGATTCAACAATGTATAACAGAAGATATAGCTAAAAGCAAATCAAATACGAAACTAGTTATAGGTGGTAACTTTAATGCAGAGTTAGATATTGAAACAAATACAATAATGCAGGAGAAGTTACTCAAAAAAACAAATGATGTAAACTTCTAATGATAAGATGGCTACAAAAAGTAGGCTTTGAAGAAGCTTTCGTACTTATTAATCTACAGATATTCAAGACAACATGGGCCAACACCAAATCCTGCTCAAAAAAAATAGATCATATCTGGTTAGATTCTGAATTAAAAG